AAAAAATACAGTATTTTTAAAGTTAAAATAAGATTAAACTAACGAAAACCAAAAGCAAAGTGATGGAGAGATAGGACGCGCTTGTATATTGATCACGTAATACACGTAACTGAGGAGCAAACGAAAAGAACCGAGTTGAATTAATTAAGTCGGAAAAAAGAAAGTGTGCATTATAATCAAGAAAATGCGACTATTGTATTAATCTTTAAAGTATTGGTGTTAAATCTGTTTTATAATATCATGACGACTCCCGTAAATCGGGTTATCCGATAAGAATAAAATACAATACCAATATAGCCCTATCATTGAAAAAATTCGCTTATTTTTGCTCATCTCGAGTTTTGCTTAATAGAAATGGCTAAAAAGTGCGCAAAATATTTATGGAAATACAGTATTACAGCAACACCTGTATTAGACGACCACCTGCCTAAAAGACCACTTTTTGTAGGAACCGTGGGTGGTCGCTATAGACAGGTTTTACTGTATATTATAAATTAAACTTGTTTAAATTAGTTATACTCTGTGTATATACATATAATTTACTGACTCTATATTGAAATTTATAAAACAAGTAAACAATATTTATTAATGTTTACTGTTAAAATAATCCATTAAATAATTTTAAAACATTTACCTTAACAGTTAATTTAGAAATTCCTTTGAATTTTACATAATTGCTAATATTTTCTTCTATCTTTGCATAAGATTCTGCTATCTACAATTAAATAATGAAACATCAAATTATATATGAATGTCATAATGGTAACGTGGAATAATTTTAATGTTTATAACTAATTTCAAAAAAGTAAACGAATAAATTATTTTAACATTTTTATTTAAATAATTATAAAAAACAGATCTCAAACATTCAAATTAATTTTCTTAAATAATCATATAATTAGATTATAACATATTTCTATAATAATAAAACCATAATAATAGAAATAAATATAAAAATTCAGAACTCAAATTTTAATAAGTTAAGTCTAATAATATACAGCTCATATTTAGCTTCTTTTTTTTAACTTTCTCCATCCTGTAAGTCTTTTCTCATGCTGTCACAGCTACAGCTAGGCCTATGAATCTATTCTATAAGTATGTAATGAAAATTATACACTTCATTAGTATTATGGGTCTGAATCATTTCAAATCACTCATGAAAATTTCTGAGGATTAACCTATAATGAAACTTGGGTCCTTTAAACTATTTGTTTAAAACAAAATTTATCTTTTCTACCTTTTGAAATAATTGCATAATAAAATTTGTATAAAATACACACACGAAAAACCTTTAAGTGACCAGTAAAATATTTAATTGAAAAAACATTTGATTAATAAAATCTGATGGTAGAGTTTTTCAAGACATATTGCCTGATTATAACTGTTATTACTGATTTTAATGATAATTGTTTTCAGGAAAAACATTATAGCTATGGTGACTGTGTTCTTAACTAAATTAAAAAAATATATATGCATTTGGTTATTAAATCCATCTTTGAAATGTAGTCCATAAATTTATATACTCTACACAGAATTGATACATATGATATATCTATTGCACATTTCTGGTAAATTTTTAAATCACTTCTTTAACATTAGCATTTAAAATATCTCTCTTAGCTATAAAATAATTCAGTGGTTAATATACTCTTTTTTTTTTCTTTTTTACAGGAAATCAAATGCATTGTACTCTCTGCTGTTTGCATTTTGATTCCTTTTAGATGCAAAAGTGCCCTAATTTCTATTCAGTACTACTAGTTTTGGTTTCTGGATCATAGGACTATCATCACAAATTACTACATTATTTAAAATGTTGGCTAGTGGTTGAAGCAATTTCACACAAAATGTTATTATTCCACTTTCATTTCATTCATTGGAAAAGTTATGGAATCTGTTTTATAATTTTACAATAATCCAAAATATAACATATCATTTCATAAATTCAAATAAAACTTTATTTAGTTTCTCATAAAATTAGATAATTACATGGTGATTTCTCCTATTTTTGTGATGATATTTGTTCTGTGTTTATGGTTGAAAGTGCAGAAAAGACTGTGATCAAGATTTGTTACAATTCTGTAAAATTCTGAAATAGAACACAAGAAATTTGTTATTTTAGACCTAATTTTAGTCTGTAAATTAAGCTAAAAACATTTGTCAGTGTAGTAAGTTTTTGCTGGAAAGGTAAACATAAGATTGTTTGTTATGATAGAACTATTTCCAGTTTTATTTATTTCTTATCATAGTAAAATTCTGTATTTGTCTCAGAAATAAACATTTTTAAAATATAACATTAAATGTTACAATATCAATTAGGGTTTTAACAAGTGTCAAAATCCTAACAGATCTTTATGAAATGTAAAGAAATCTTATAGGCATACAGTTTTACATTAAGTACAAAGTTTTATTTGTTCCTGCCTATACGAAAAAAAAAAACAATTAACCATTGAAAGTCATATTTATTTCCTAAAAATAACACACTAAAGATAAATTAATGGTCAGTTCTTAAAATAAAACACAAGATAAATGCACACCTTACATCTTACTAAAGACTGGTTTATGGTCAAACTGCAATCTGAAGCTATAATAGTAGAATTTACAGAGTTCTATTAAATTCTGTAATACAAGAAACTCATTTGCAGTTATGCAATTTTCAGAGTAATATTGAATATTATGCAATTATTAGCATTTTTTATAGTACTTTTGTAATCTGATGTTATTATATCAGAGATATTTGAATATTTTTAATAAGCAGTGAAAATGCCTCAACTAATCTATCACTTAATTGTATATCTGATCTATTAGACTAATATTAAAAGATATTCAACTTAGAAGTTTGGTGCCAATACCATGCTATATCAAGTTATATGATGACCAGATTTTGACAATAAATCAAGACACTAATTGACTAATGACCTTGAAATGCTAGTTATACAGGAGTTGACTATAAATCTGCCTTAAGTTTATATTGATTATTGATGGAGTATAATTTATAGAAATTTATCTAAACAAGACAGCCAGAGATTCAACAATTTAGTACCAATATCATCAAAATATTGTTACTTTTGGATAATTCTTCAATCAAACTTACCCCTGTTGTGAAATGTGAAGAAATTTTATCTTGTAATAATTTTAACCGTTCATTTTCTGATCTTAACAACAATGCAGGGATACCAGAATGTCTGAAATAATTTCAAAATATATTAATATACTGCACAATATGTGTATTTTCAAGAATTCAATTAAATTGAATTGAATCAGAAAATTTCTTCTAAATAATTTTAAATATTCTGAATTATACATTTTCAAATGTAAACATATATTCTAACACACAATGTAATGATTTTATTACAAAAAATAATAATAAAAAACAGAAAACCATAATATGTTATAAAATTTATGAAAAATAATTCATTTTAATCTTATAAACAAAATGAAATACAGGTATCTTCTTAATGAATATATTCAATTCATCACTTAATCAAGAAACTTAATAATATTCATTTATTTAAATAACTTACTTAATTTTCCTTTTTCTTGTTTTCAAATGTTTGCTCTCAATATTCATTACATGAAATTTTTCTTCATTGTAATTTTTACATTGCTCATTTGAATTACACAATAACGAACTTTCAGAAAATTCTTCAAAGATCTCGGTTTCTTTTTTTTCACTTTCTTTCAATGATTCCGACAAGGCTAAACCTATCTGAAGATCTTCTTCTGCTTTACTAAATTTTTGCAAGGTATTTTTTATTATATCTTGATAATATTTTCTTATTATATTTTTAGCTTAAGAAATACTTATTCTTAATTTTTGAGTGATTAAAAAATTTATTTTACCTTTTGGGTCTCTTCTTTAGAAGGAGTTGTTTCTTTGAAGTTTTCGGTTTTGTTAATCTAATGAAATCATCAACCAAAATTAATTTACTTTTTACATTAATAGTAAAACTTTGTTTATAAAAAGCCAAACATTTTGAAAACATTTTTTGTCAATTAAAATGTCAACACTCAGGCAAACATGCATACATATGCACACATACATACATACACTATATACAGTGAAATGTTGGTATAACAAATGTCAGTTTAACAAAATTTTCAGTATAATGAATATATCTTGATTCCCCCAATTTCCCATTCAGCTCAATGCAAATACCATTATAATGAAAATTTCAGTTTAATGTAATGAAAATTCTGTCCATTATGAAAGAATAGTTTTGTTATAACAAAATCTATAAATGCAAAATCATTCATGATTAATATCATAAAGTACTCAGCAAATCATACATATACATATAACTAACACCTTATTCTTGCCGAAAAATATAAATTTATTCCAAACAAACGTTTTCAACCTGATTTACAGGCCATCGTCAGGTTTATAACCAAATTCGAATTAAAGGATTCCATCAATGAAATACAAAATTCAAAATTAAAAATTAACTAAGTAACAGAATAAGATAAAAATAAAATTAAAATATTAAATATCCAACGGGGTAACATAAAACAAAAATATAAAAATATGTACATAGAAGTATTAATACAATTATTATGACTGGTTAGAGCTCTTATTAAACTTCTTAACTATAAACTTTCATGCAGAGGAAAGACTTTCTGCATCCCTCGCATTTAAACAGCCTTCCTGTATTTTACTCCTATAAATATGCAACTTTTCTGCTGTCAACGCCNCAAACAAACGTTTTCAACCTGATTTACAGGCCATCGTCAGGTTTATAACCAAATTCGAATTAAAGGATTCCATCAATGGAATACAAAATTAAAAATTAACTAAGTAACAGAATAAGATAAAAATAAAATTAAAATATTAAATATCCAACGGGGTAACATAAAACAAAAATATAAAAATATGTACATAGAAGTATTAATACAATTATTATGACTGGTTAGAGCTCTTATTAAACTTCTTAACTATAAACTTTCATGCAGAGGAAAGACTTTCTGCATCCCTCGCATTTAAACAGCCTTCCTGTATTTTACTCCTATAAATATGCAACTTTTCTGCTGTCAATGCCAAAGATGGAGAAGATAAAGGTTTTATGATGGCTGCCTCATTCCATTTGACTACAGATCCTGGTGTTTGCGCCATTTGGGACAAAATCGTTGCATTAGATTCCTTTCTGATACTATAACTATGTTCCTTGATTCTAAGTCCTAAACTCCTGGTGGTTACTCCAATGTAGTCTTTTTTAACGCCCAATTGCATATTCTCATAAGGTATTCTATAAACCCCTGCTTTCTCTTCCAACTTTATATCATCCTTATCATTCCTGAGGATTTTGTATAAATTAGGGGCCCTTTTTGTAAACATCCTCAAACCTTTTCTGCGAGCAATCTCTTTAATAACATTTCTTTTGTTTGGAATAAATTTATATTTCTCGGCAAGAATAAGGTGTTAGTTATATGTATATACATTCATGATTAGTAAATGATGAATATTATGTCAAACAGTCTGACAACATTAATTTTAATGTCTAGTTCAACTGGCAACACTAATTTTAATCCTTAGTTATAGTTTCATTTTGATGTTATTACTCTACAGTTTACTTCTGTTTAAGTTTATGAGAAAAATGGAGAAAAACAAAAGCAGTTTTCTTTGAAAGAGAATAATAAAATATTAGATAACTGCAAAAAAAAAGTAAACAAAAAGACCATGCCTGACGGCCTACCGAAATGCTGTCATAGTACTAGATTTTATCAAAAAACTTTGATTAAAGAAACAACATGCCCACAAAAATTTGACTTCTTTTATCAGAAAATAGTGGCTTCAAGCAGAAATAACAATTAAAGACACCGGATTCCAACTAATCAGTACTACTATATTGTTATTTTACTTGTTTGCTTGTGATATTTTTTGACAACTTTTTTATTACAGATTAATTTTTATCCTAATTTAATATAACTTACATTCTGAAAATGTGAATTTGGTTCCATATAAATACTAATAGACAAATTACATTTTTAAAAACTTTCTTACTTCAAAGTATAAGTTTTTTATTATCAATAAATTCCTTTTACTCTTTCATTTTTGACTGTATTTTCAAAATAATGAAATTTCAGTATAAAAAAATATTTAGATGGTCCCCTCAATTTTGTTAAACAGACATTTCACTGTATATAATTATTATACATATCATTTGAAAAATGTGCAAAATTAAAATTTGCTGTAAACATGAACAAAGCAACATTTTAATAAAAATTTATATGTTAATGAGCAATTATTTATTGTGACATTGTCACAATGCCAGGCTGCAATTTCTCATCACAATGCTCTTGATTTTAGTAGTTTCTTGTCCTGTACATCATACTTTTCCTGTTAACAATGGAGTCATGCTGGTCATCTATTTAACTCTGTTCTCAAGATTAAGGAAGGTCAGATAGATGGATGCCAGTGGGAATTTATTGGTCTACAATTTTTGAAAATTGCAGCACAACAGAAAAGTCTAAATTACCTTATGTCAATATTAAGTTTTGAAAATTTTAAATCAAAGTTATTATTTTTCTTTATGTTAAAATAGTTAAATTTTGATATGTTATAACAAATAAATATATTTTTTTCAGGTGAACTAAATTTAAAAAGATTTTCTTTATTGAATCCAATTCAAAAAGTTAAATTAATCTTTAAACCAACTTCATTTTTTAATATATTTATAATACATTTAATTTAAAAAATTTTTTAGTTAATGTGAATTTGACTTATGTTTATTCCATAATTAAGTATATTACCTTCTATTTATATTCTTAGAAATTCTCAAAAATCTAATCAAACAGCGAAAGACAACATATGAAGAAAAATTTTTTAAGTACTGGTATTCTTCAGAAATTGGATAAATGTCCCAAAAATTAAAGGAACACTTGAATAAATAGTTCAGTCTAGAAAATTACTTTAAAATATTAAAGCAATAGGAAATAGAATGAAATAAACAAATTTAGATTTAGAAGTTTCAACTAAACCTATATCTGAAAATAAAACAATATTCCAATATCACAAACGAATCCAGTCATGTAAAAAACTACTAATCCTGTTTATCTACGACAACAAAATCTAAAATATACATGAAATTCTTGTGATATTGTTATTAAAAAGACTCTAAATATTCAATTAATCACTCTTACAATATGAAAATAACAAACTGCAAAAACAGTTAATAGACCAATATGAATTAAAAATATTAGGAATTTCTTTCTTTTTTTGACTATGAAAACAGGCTCTCTTAGTCAGATCACTACTGTAATGGACTAATATATATAAAATTTCTTTAGTAGTAAATTTTTTTACTTATTATACAGATTTATTGATTACTACCTGTATTAATATACAAAAAAATTAATATGTAATACAAAATTAGAACAATTGGAGCTTGTAATACACTCCTTTTTTAATACTGGCAGTAAAGTAACTGGTTAGGTTGCAGGGTCTGGAAGCATGGATATGCAGGAGAAATGCCATCATGCTAGGGTTTCTCATTCCCCGGCTTTTGCTTGTCCTGAGATTTAGGGAAAAAAGTGAACTGTTTCACGGGATACAATTAATTATTTTTAAGATATACAAAATATCTTGAAATCAAATGATATAATTATTTTTCATTTTTTAAAGTAATTTAATATGTTCTGCAACCTCCAAAATCATATTAATAATGCTGTGTAAGATATATATTAAAAATTACCTTTGAATTATATAGAAATTTAAAGAATTAAAAAAAATAGAAAAAATTTATTAAAGTTCGCTGGAAACTGCATACAACAACAACAAGAAAAAAATGCTTTGAATTGAATTGAAAATTTAAAAAAATGAACTTAGATCAAACTTCTAACAAAAGGTAATTTTCATTTTTTAAATAAAACATAATACAAAATATTATTGTAAATTTTTATAAGATTTTAAAAAGCAAAGATGGTTAATACTCCGATCACTCAATTTGATTCTTATTTTAGTAATGAAAAATCCCACTACCAACAATGCCCTTTCCAATTCAATTGATGTGGGTGGAATCGTGTTTAATGCATTTAAGAGAAGACAGATGTTATGTGTTTTTTCACTCATAGCCTGGAAGATTTCTAGTTCGTTTTTGAGATTGTAGTACTTCTTTTGCTCTCTAGTATTCTTGATTTGTCTACCTCAGCTGATTTAATAGAAACATCAAGCTTATAGCCCAATAATTCTGCAGTTTGTTTGTCTTTAATAATTAGGTTTATGAAGAAAAACTTCATACTTGTTTGTATCCTTGCCCAATTTGCACAACCTGCATTACACAGTTATTGAAGCTACTGGGCATGTTAAAAATTAAGACAGCATAAGCACAATTATTCCAGATATTACAGGTTCTGACAAGTAAAGAATTTTCAGAATCCTGCCACAAATAAGCTGCATATTGATTATTGACCATTTGTGACATGCCATAATGAGCAAAAATTTAAAAAACTAATAAATAGGTTTAAAATTAATAAATACAAATGTATTCTGACAGTTTATGAGTTAATTATACTTTCTATTTGCAAAATTTCCTCAATCTTAACACAAAATAAGAAAAAAGTAAACTTTTAACAAATTTGCGGGATTTCACAAGATGAGAAGAATTTTCCGGGATATTTCCTGAGTTACAAAAAAAAAACAACTGGGATCCTGGGATCCCATTTGAAAACCCTACATCATGCTCATAAGTTTGTATCTCTTGGTCAGAAAACATTCCTTGAGGCTTGCATGCTTTTGTGTGGTGAATTTAAAGATGCATTAATTAAATTTCTTGCCTCAAATGTAAGGAGATTGTTGTAATTAATTTTGCAGCATTAATCAAATACTATGTTAAGAAAGGGATAACTGTATAATACTGTTCCAATAGAGCGCCTGGACCTCACATATTTCCAATACATGACATAAAGCTCCTATGGTGACAAGGTTTCGCCACCCGTAGTATGTACAGTAATACACTGCATAATGTCCATGATTCCGTGAGGTTATAATAGTAAGTATGAAAAATTTTTGATTACTAAAAATCTTGAAGGTGTTGGTCTAATTAAGAAGAATAAAAAAAAATACTATAATAATTTTTTATTTAAGAGATGAATGAATTTAATTACATTTAATGAATTGCTATTTTTAAATATATTTTAGATATTACAATAGTATTTCATTATACTTATTTTTTAATAATATGTAAACAATAAAATCATATAGATAAATTTAAAAATTTTAATAAAAATAATACCTGGATTTCACAACATTTGGGAGACCAGCTGCCAACCGCTCATTGACATATTTTTCTTGTAAACGAACTGCACTGAGAAGCTGGGCAGTACTTAAATTGAATTTAATACCACAACTTTTTAAATGACTGCAACGAGCCTGATTAAAACAACAGAATTATTTATGTGTTTCTTAAACACTATGTAGTGCAATTAATCAATCACTTGGCATTCCTTCATATCTTTATTTCCAATTCAGTTGATATGCGTTTTTGGATACATGTTTCTGGCTCAAATTGTCCCTCCTCAGTCAACTAAAAAGTTATAAAAACACACACAGTTCACAAAAGGCCAATAAATACATATAACTGGTATAGTGTTTTATACAGAACATACCTTTAGGTTATAATCTTTTTGGACCAAATGCTATTAGATATATACATAATAGGTATATGACTTACAAGATTATTATTCTTGTCTCTCTATTTAAACAGAAAAAATTTTTTAAAACCTGTAATTACAATTCTGATTATTATAACACATTAATAATATACATAATCTGTATATAAACAGTGTTAACATACCTTTGCATATTCCTCACTTTGGACAGCCATAATTAACACACTTAAAGCATGGATATACGGCTATTACAGAATTTTATGTCCACCTATTTGTTTTTTAAAAAAGGCTTCTTAACTAGGTTTTTTTTACACAGTATTAATTATACGAATCTGTAACTAAATAACGTACCTGTTTTTGCAATTTAATAATTGTGTTTTTAGTGTTCTTTCATATCATATCCTTCCCAAGAAACCATAGGGGTTGAAAGCAAATTTCACATTTCAAATTCTGCCATTTGTTAAAAATTCACAATAAGTTAAGCCAATATGATAAGCTTCATAGGGGATTAGTATGGGGTCCATAATATGAAAATTTGGACCAGATGCTATTAGATATACATAGAATGAAAATGACATACAGTACTTCTTTTTTCCCCTTGACGAAATCCAATAAAACCATTTAGCACAAACAGATGTAGCTTCTCATATGTCTCCTTATATCATCTCTCTGCTTTTGTTGCATAGTACTGTGCTAATTAGCATATTCTCTTGTAGTTTGATGATCAACTAATGACTGAATAAAATTGACCAGTAACTTTTCTCATTATAAATTAAATTTCTATTTTACAATTATTATTTTTTAATATTTTTTATCTAATTTTAATACGTATACAATTGCACTTACAATTTATTTCCATCCTCAAGTTTAAAATACTTTCAGTTTTTTGAAAATCTATTTATAATACTTTCAACCAGTTTTTATTTATTTTTATATTCAAATTTTTATTTACGCAATTTTTGTTTTTAAGGATTTCCATGCTCTCTTTGAATTTTCTATTATACATTTCCTTTTCTCTGTGTAAAATTTTTATATTATTCTGATCAATATTGCAATCATTTGTTGTACAGTGTTCATGGAAAACAGAGTTGATTCTATGATATTTTAAATCTGCAATATGTTCTTTTAATCTTACCTTCATTCTTCATTTTGTTTCTCCGATATAAAATTTGGTAGAATTGCAGGTACACGGGATTTGGTATACAACGTTGTTTGTTTCTTCTGGTGATTGTTTTCTTTTTTGTATTGATTTTCAGGTTTTAAGTCTAGATGATAGTTTTTCATATTTTGATGCAAGTTTAACATGAATTTTTCTTCTTTATTAATTTCTTCATACAGTCCTTTAATGTATGGGAAGATGATATATTTTACTTTTAATTGTTCTGTATCTTCTACAGGAATCATTTTGTTGTTTAATTTCTTTTCCCAGGTTTTTATAAGTCTGTTTGGATATACATCTTAAAGGAATTTCTTTTTAAATTCAATTAAGCTATTGTGTATGTTAATGTTTGTACTAGTTCTATTTTTTATTTTACTATATTCCATGTTAAATATGTTTTGTTTTATGTATAAAGGTATATTAGAATTGTATTTTACAGTTGTCTTTATTGATCATGTTTTTTTTATAGGTTTCAAATTCTAATTTGTTTTTCTTCTTATTATTGAAATGTCTAGGTAGCTTAATTCGTATTTAATTTTATCTTCCTCTTCTATTTTAAATTGTATCATTTTATTTATATTATTTACTTATTTATTTATTTCTTTTATTGTAACTTCTGTTTTGTTATATATGATAAGAATGTCATCCACATATCTCTTGTAAAATTTTATTCCTTATATTTTGTTGATTAGTTCATCAATATCTATCATTATTAGTTCTGCTAACTTTGGTCTGATTATGGACCCCATACTAATCCCCTCCATCTGCACATAGTATTTATTCTCAATTTCAAAATAATTGCTTCTATAGGAAAAGTCTATCAACTTTATACTTTCTGTCTCTTCTTTAATTTGTTTTAATTTATTTTCAATTGTTTCCCACGTTATTGAAGGGTACATATCAACAATGTCGAGACTTGCTACTTTAAATGTTTCTTCAATATTTAGCTTCGTTAAATCTTGTATAAGTTCATCAGTATTCTTTATGGAGAGATATGAGTTTTGATATTGTTTCAGAAACTTTTCTAAATTATACAAGATAGAATATTTAAATTTGGCTATCGGTCTGACCTTTTCTCCAATTTTATATGTTTTTAGCTGTACGTTCAGTTTTGGTATGCGCTCGTTATCTTTGTTTAAAATAAACCATTTTTCTTCTTTTTTGAGTTTATTTAGTTTTTGCAATTTCGTGATTCTGTTTTTTAATTCTTGCTATATAACTTCTTTAGGGTTTATTAGTAATTCACAGAATTTTTTATCCTCTATTACTTCTTGTTTTTTCACTTTTACCCATTCTTTGGTGACTACAACTATTTGTTTTGACTTGTCTGCTTTAATAATCTCTAATCTGTTGTCATTTAAAAAATTATGCAATATGTCAATTTGGTTCTTATATTGAAAGTAATTTTTGTCTCTAATAATTGCTTTTCCTTTTTCTCTTTTTACATATTTTTTAATCTTATTACTTTGATTCATTTTAACGATATTTGATTCTGTTTTGGGTAAGTAATTGCATATGCGGTCTAGATTTGGTATTAAATTTATTATATCCTATTGATTAATCTAAAGGTATATCATAAAATTCTGTAATAGCCAAATATCGATACTTCAAGTATGTTAATTATGGCTGTCCATACATGAAGGTATGTTAACACTGTTTATATACAGATTATGTATATTAATGTGTTATAACAATCAGAATTGTAATTATGGGTTTTAAAAAAATTTTTCTGTTTAAATAGACAAGAATAATAATTGTGTAAGTCATATACCTATTACGTATATATCTAATAGCATCTGGTCCAAAAAGATTGTAATCTAAGGATATGTTTTGTATAAAAAAAACTATACGTTATATGTATTTATTAGCCTTTTGTGAACTATGTGTGTTTTTATAACTTGTTAGTTGACTGAGGAGGGGCAATTTGAACCCGAAACATGTATCCAACAATGCATATCAACTGAACTGGAGATAAAGAAATGAAGGAATGCCAAGTGATTGATTACACTACAAAATGTTTAAGAAATACATAAAAATAATGACACAGTTTCAGATTAACAAAAAAAAAATTATTTATATCTTTTATCATTTACATACAGTATCTGATTAATTTTTGTAATTACCTATCAAATTTAAAGAATACTATAGTTAAACTATCAATTATTTATTGTGACAGCATCACAATACCATGCTGCAATTATTAATCATATTTTTTAATTAATTTAATTTAAAATATCTGCTTTCCACCTCAAATTAATAGTGGCTTGCCCCTGTGCATGCTTTTCCTTTAACCATAGAGTTGTGCCAATCTAACACCTTTCGGGGGAAAATTTTTGAATTGAAATAATATGACTTCCAGTTTGCACTGGAAGTTTGTATAAAGTTAATTGGGACCTCCTGTCCTAAGGTTTCCATATCTGGTTTCATCTTTCATCTATCTAATTCCATTATATAAATAAACATCTCCAAACCCGATATCCAATATAGAAAGACACCAACCGAATGCCGTAAATTAATCGGGCTATTTCACTGCTAAATTCTAAATAAATTACGTAACTGGCAACGCATCTGCACGGTAAGCAGGAGTTGTGGGTTCGAGTCCCGCTCCGGGCCGATTTTTTCTCCCAGCGGTTCCAAATTATTTAAATTAATTAATATATTTATAATTATTAATTTTAATAAGAGATGGCGCCTAACGCTTACCTCTAGTGCCAAATTAATTACGTAATTTATTTAGAATTTAGCAGTGAAATAGCCCAATTAATTTACGGCATTCGGTTGGTGTCTTTCTAACTCCATTTTCAAGATTAAGGACAGACAGCTGACAGTGGGAATTTATAGGTCTACAGCTTTTTCAAATTGCAGCCTAATAATAATAATAAATTAAGTTATCTAGTGAGACATGGAAGATTTTGAAACAAAATAAACCTATTGAGAAATAAGAAGTTATCTGCTGAGTAATTGTGTCAACTCAGATTCTTAACAAAGTCTTTGAAAATGCTATTGATATTTGAAGTAAAGCAGTATTATAAAGAGAGGATAGATAAATGTCAAACTTCAAAAGAATATTGGAATCTATTCAGTTCTGTCAGGTCAAGATGATTTAAGAAAGGTTTTGATAGTAATAAATTTATTGTAAGTAATAAATGTTTTTAGTAACAAGGTTCATTTTGAAAAATTGAAGGTTATGCCTTTCTAACTACTAACGATTCCTGTGACAGACTGTAGAGACTGAAGTAGCGTAAAGAGAGGATCTATTATGAATTTACTGCATTATGACCAAATGGCAATGCTTATTAAAGCATTGATATAGAAACATATTTAAAATGATAAATTAGCATTAAATAAATGTCATACTGGGAGCATAATACAAAAATTATGTTTCATATTATTTATTTATGTTAATTTATTGTATTAAGTTCCTTTTGAATATTTATTTAATACTAATTTACTATCTTCAACATGTTTAATCAAACTGTTCTTTTTTTGTCATGCCTGCAATGTTTAGATTGCAAATTAGCCAAAAGTATAAACATATTAGGTTATCATCTTCAGTTCTTTGATTAAACAATTTGTTTATACTGTATATAAATGAATCAGAAAACAAATTATCTCAAGATAAATTTCTATATTACATAAAATAATACATAAGATTGAAATAAATAAAAAACACATTAATAGAAATTACAAATAAATAATTACCTCAAATGTTTGAAAATCTTGACCACAAAGTGGACAATCTAATAAAACTTTTTTAACTGCATCTGTACTGTTTTCATCAAGTCCAACCATTTTTTATTTATTTTTCTATTCTTTGATCACTTTATATCTATTAAAAAACAATTACTTCTTATATGATATTAGGATTCTAATATATTAATAACAAATAATTAATTAAATTTGTTCATAGTTATAAAATTCTTTATAATGCCCCAACTTAATATCTATCAAAGCTTATTAATGACACAGCATGGATGAATGAGATTATAATTGTCAATAATCCATAGATTTACAATTTTGATCTAGATAGTAAATTCTAAACCAGTCACTAAACTCAATTATGTAGAATTAAAACCAAAGAAAACAGTATGAAAAGACAAGGATCTGTAGGAATATAAGATTCTATGAGAATAATCCATGAATTCATTCCAAATGGTAAAAGTTCTTGAAAACTATAAAATGGTGAAAAGATTAGAATAGAAAAATAGCTAAAAAATTAATTGTAAAGATAAGCTAATTGTTTATTATGAGGATATACATTCATTACTAATGCAATATTTTTATAATATTAAAAAATATGGCTCTTCCTATCCATGTTTTTTTTGAGATCTTATTTCTTGCATATTTTTCTGTATGCAAAAAGAAAATGGAATTAAAGATAAAAAGTAATATGAAAGCAATTCGGCTCAAAAATATTTAAAAATGGGGAAAGACAATTATAAAGATCTACAGAATGAAACAGAAGTAACAGGACAATTTCAACATACTATTATTTTGATTATTAATTTTGTTTTCTACATTATTAAAAAATATATTTATTTGTTTTTTGTATTATTTTGTCCAGTGTCTATCTATGCACCCAGTTGTGAAGTAATGAATATCTTAATTGTTTTTGTTGAAATACTATAATTTCAAGTTGGTATCAAATATATGCCATATATTAATTTACTTGTGAAATTTCTATATATTCATTTCAGGATTAAAGTCTTTTTTTAAATAATTCTATCCAAAATCCATTTCCAGTTTACTTTTATCAATTAACTGGTAATACGATTACTTAATTTCATCAGAATGTATTTATTCTCTTCGCAATGTTAATTACAAGATTAAAAAATATGAAAAAAATGTTCATTCGGATAATTTAAGAACTTACATTAGAAATACGAAAAAATCTGAAGCATTTTTTTCAATTTATGCAATGATTACCGATCATCGTCATTATAATTAAACGAGGACATATTTATTTAAAGACTAATATTAAAAGTATGAAGAGTTTTTTCCTTTAAAATTCTAAAATTGCCAGCTGAAGACTACCGATCTGAGAAAAATATAATAAAATTCTACAATTTTATAACATTACTATTCATCCCGTAATTGACCAATTTCTAAAATAAACATGTGCATTTAAATATTTCACTTAGTGTTGCCAGGCTGGAGATACAATAAAATAAAATAAACTCCAAAATATACAGCCTAATTAGCCCAAATATAGCCAACATTTCTAAATGTTTTTTTTAATTAAATGATTTTGTTTGTATGAAATATAGAAAAAAATTATTATGACTTGCAGTAAGGCATAATTTTTTGCCTTTTTATATGATTTGAATTTTATCAAATCTATTATATAAATCTAATCTTTATAATTTTCATGGTTTTTCGGATGGGGCTTTGTTTCGCATCTTTTAATGTTTAACTCTACCATTTTAAGTAACTTATAATCTGTGTTTTTTGAAGTGGATATTTCCCAGTGAAATAATAAATTGTTATTGTTACTTTAAATGAATTTGATATGTATATAGAGAGAATACTGGATTTAAGTGCAGGCGGACATCGAGCGCACCGCAGTCTTAGGGAGGTTCTAGTAGATTAAACTAGCACCTTACAAGGAAAAGTAATAATTTTTAAATATTGTATACAAAAGTATAGAATTCTTTAGCTTGGAATATTTGAAACCAAGTTTTTCGTATGTTATTCGTGTAAGTTGATATTTCGTGCTCTTTATTGACATTTCGTTTTAATATATTCCGATTTATTACGAAATAATTTCTTATGATTATTTATTCTGAGAATGAAATTTATATTTTCGTTTGTTTTTGTTTTTTGGAAATTAAAAATTAGTGAAATTTGAAGAATAATATTGAAAGAAGATAACGTTCTGGAGTAGAAATTATTTGAATTTTGTCTCTTTTCTCAATTATTGATATTATTTCTCCGTTATTTTTCTCTGATGTCAATGCATTCTACAATTATGTTTGTTGTTATGTTTACATTCGTGTGTGAACTTCTTTGTATGTACTTTTAAAATTTTCTTTTAAATCATATCTGAAATAGAGGATCAGAGTCAAGGAGGATCAATAATGAGGATGAGGGAATGAAGACTATTTTTGAAATGACACTTTTAGGAGTAAGGCTATAAGGACTACACGCAGTTAGGAATAGTAAAGGAAGAAATATAAAGTAAGTAGAGATAAAGAGTGGGACGAGATTGGAAAGAAAATGTTATTCAAGACAATGAAAGCTGACGAATGCTATCTGAAGTGCGATCCTTCGATGAGGACACGTTAAGAAATCACAATACTGTATACTCTTTCCGACTAATACTTCCAACAATCGTTGACATGAGTAATTTCAGAAATCCTAGAATAACTACCCTTATTTTTGAAGACCTACGTAGCTATTGAACTGAATTTCTCATCAATATAGTTTTTTTTTCCTTTTAATTTTTTTCATTCCTTCCGCTATATGGGAGATAAGAGAGCCTTTTTTCATATTCATCATGAGTTAGGCCAGGCCCACAATAGGAACAGCCGAATGGCGAAAGATAGAGCCCGACATATCGAAAACAGATCACATGAAAATTTTCGAAATTCCCCATCCAAAGTCTTACCTTGTTTTGATACCCGTGGCTCTGTTGCACCCACAGTACCACAGGTATCAATACAAATAAGAAAATCTAAATCCTCACTTTCAATAATACAAAATTAAAATGTATTTCAATTGCATTCTTTATTGTGAATTTCTAAATACATATTCTGTTAAGAGAGATAAAACATTGTGTTACTAAACAGTAAGTTGAATAGATTCTAAGAACAGAACAAGTGCGCACCAGATAATGGATTTCGTTTTAAGGAAAACGAAATGGCCTCATTCTCTTCCGTTGATATTTTATAGCACAGATGCATAGTGAATCAGTGCTATCAAGCATAGTTACACAGTTTCCAAAATAAAATCGTTCAATATCACATATTATATTACAAATTTTGGAATTGAAACCACTTGTACACTTCATCAGAAATTTAACTTGATCGTTCTTTTTGCCTAAAAAATATAAGATACTGTATTTAAAATGTATGCACTTAAAATTTAAACGAGAAAAATCAGGAATATAAACTTACATCGAACAATTTCACGGGAAAACAAAAGAAATGTTAATACTATGAGTGTAGAGAGCATTATATTGGAGAAAAAGGACAATTCAGATAAGATTTCTTTATAAATTCTATTGTTTTTAACTTTACTTTCAACAATTTATAGATTTTAAATAAAAAAAAAAAATCCGAAAGTATAATTTTCATTCTAAGAACAAACAAATGTACCACATAAAACTTTCAATAAAGTTATGGAAACAAAATATCAACGATAAGTATCGATTTTCTTAATAACAATTAAAAACTTTTTCATAAATGAATAATCTTTCGGTACTTTTAATAAAAGATTAAATTATATTTATTTTATACAATAAATTTTAATATATTTTTAAAAAATTAATTTATTAGTTTGCAAATTTTATTCCTGATGGCCGAGTAGTTAAAGTGTCAGCCTATCGCTCTGAGGGACCCGGAATCGAAAAATTTACAGAAAATGCGTAAATAGGTAATTCAAAATATTTATCATTTCGGTTTTGTAATCGAAAGAACGCTGTTGTGCTGTGAAATGTTAAAATTATATATTATGTCATTGAAATATCAAAGAAATGCAAGTTTTTAATTCAAACTAATTGGTACTGGAGTAGTGAATTATGTTCCGTTGAAGCCCTAAAAACTATTTATTTATAAGGCCGTTTATGCATAAGCTTTTTCTTATATTAAAGAAACTTTCTATTCTCATGATATGTCTCTTCCTTAATCTCGAGAATCTTCATTCCATCGATTCAGAAAGTTTTATATTTAATCGAGTCTTTTGTAAAGAAAGTATACTAATTTATATTATATCATTTTTGCATGTAAATTATACAATTCATGGTGTTACTAAATATAACTGGTGCAGTATAATTGTTATATCTAGAAAATATAATGTGATTTAATGAAGATTTCCTCATTCTTCTGGAAGAATGAGGAAATCTTTTAAAAATAAATACCCTTACATCATCGGAAAGCATTACACTAACATTTAGTAAAAAAAAAAGTTTAATAACTCTGAAAATATTCTTGATATAGTTACTACATAATAGAAAAATGGCTTTTATAAGTTTATTATGAAAGTAAGTACTCGAAACAATTGTTTAATTTAATAAATCCCTTTTCTTTACTGGGCTCTTTACAGTTTTGTTTATAAGAGCGAACTTTAATAGGCTTTAAAGATTTGCTTTTAAGAGATTTATTTGAAATTTCATTTAATGAATTAACGTTTAATTAAACCTCAATTATAATTATGCAAGTGCTATTATTTTTTAATGTAATGATGTAAAAGTAAGCTACGGGTAGATATAAAAATCAAGACTTATGTTACTATTATAATTGACTTCAAGTGAAAATTAAACATGGAAAAGAAGTGAAATAAAATATTTTCGATTTCCGAAAAATGAAGATATAACCAAACAGTGGATCATTACTTATCGAGACATTGAATAGAATAAACATGAAAAATGGTAAGTCTGTTAGCATATTTACAAAACGTAATGGATCACTTTGACACATTCGTGTTCACGTGCATAATTATAATACTCTTAATTAAATTCTTGACACGCGATTAATTGTAATATAATTTAACTGCTTTTCTGATACAACTGTTATAAGTTTATTATCATGCGTGAGTTCAATTCAATTTGATACCTTACGAAAGGGACATATTGAAAAATTTTATTAGAAGAACCTACACCCATTCCTCAGAAGTCACTTATTGCTTGAAGGAGTTTAAATTACATCAGTGATGTTGCGGTTAATTAATCATGTGTATAATCTAAAGACAATAAATACACTTATTCAGAATTTTACATTTATTAAAATTCTCTTTCCATACTTTGAATGTAATATAGGAGACTGATTCCTGTGAAATACAGCATTCCCCTAAAAACTGATCACAAATTATTCAATGATACAAACCGGAAAATAGTATACCAAAGAATTCCATCAATGACCTGCTGAAGGATGCTGAGACAGTCAGGACCCAGGTTCTGGTCTAGCATTTTTAAGATCTTGGCCCACAATAACCTCTTCTCTAAGAATTTGTCACATTTAGGTTGCACTCTTCAGTCAATCCGAAAAAGGATAGAAGAACTCAGATATAATGTACTCAGAAAAGATTTATGTACAAGTACAGTATCTTTCTATCTAGATTTGCTAGAGCAAATGATATACAGAACTCGAGGAGGGATTTCCCGGGAAGATTTTCTAAGGGAAGTTGGTCCCTATTTAAGTATTTAATAATTGATTATCTGTAGCAATTATTCAATTTACACTCTTAAATTCTTTCGCGTTAGAAGCAAGCAAGCTTCGAATGTAATTTTTTCCTTTTTTTTAAACCAATCACTTATATAAAAAGTACAATAAAATATTATTATATTTTATATTTACTATATCACAGAGTGCTGCCAGCGCTAGAATATTAATCAATAAACCTTCTAATAATGTAGCAAGTGTTAATAATTGCTGCATTCTGAAGAGCCCTGTAGAGCCACGGAGGCGAGATCTATTGTCTTTAAGCTATCAAACAGCGTACATAAATTACTTCAGCGCAAGAGATTATTATAATAATTATTATTACTTGATGACGTATTTAAATGTTAGTTTTTCATTATTATTTTTCAGAAATCGAATAACAACTTTCAGTTTGTTTATCTGTAGGGGTGCTCAAGCACAACATAAATTGAAAGAGGAATAAAGACGAAATTTTCGGGTATTGTAAAGGATGTAATTTCGCTTTCAGATTTTTATACGTAATCACAGTTCAATTTACTCCATTATAATAAAACATTCTAATAATAAACTACGTGATGTCATTACTGACGGCATTTATGACGTATTAAAAGTAACAGGAATTACGGTTGTACGTGACGTAGTCATTTATGAAGTCCAAATAGTAACAGTGGTAAGTGTATTCTAGCAGAATTTCAATACTTAGAGTACACCTACCCTCTTCTTTTTGTGTAACTTATAAATTTACATTATACATGTTTATTTAAATGGAAAAATATAGTCGCAAGTTTTTAAAAAATTATCGCCTCAGGTTGATTTCCACTCAATTCAATTTCGCTATCATTTCTTTTTTTTAGTACTAAAAACAGAATAATGCAATAACTGTTGCTACAAATAAATAGAAAAGAAGAAGAGAAAAAGTTTATTTTTGTTAAATTTCAAAAATATTCGGGTAAACATTACATACTTTTTATCATAAATTTAAAATTGATTCCATATATTTTTTTTTTTTATTATTATTTCCAATTCAAACGGTGTTACACTCTATTTATAACTAGAATTAATCGAGAAAATACATAATAAAAGCATTTTTACTATAGAAAAACGGTAAAAACTTGTTCAAAACGGAATCCTGCCTAAACGGGAAAAATATCGATACCGCGCTAGTCCGGTTTACACAGGTTTTTACTGTATATATATATATATCTATAATGATAATTTATCTGTAAACCTGTGTAAACCGGACTGGCACGGTAACTAAGATTTTTCCGTTTTAGCAGATTTCCGTTTTAAACAGGTTATTTTTATACACAAAAATCAACGAGTTTTGACGAATTTTTCCCGTTTAGACAGGTTTCCGTTTTAAGCAGGTTTCACTGTACATATAAGGATAATTTTCGGAAATTTATTTCCAATATACCACACCGTTTTTATGTATAAATTGTACATAAAATCATTAAATCCTGTACTATTATTATATTAATTTAATTGTTTCGTGTAGTTTTACCACCTTTCTTAGGTATTAGGAACTTCGTTATACGGGTGTCGTGACTTCGTGCGACACTGCAGACTTTTCTATTAATGGCCGTTATTTTCTTTTGTTATACCGAAAATATTTTAAACAAATTTCATCGACGTTACTTTTCTACAATAGAGTAATTCGCGAAATGTCTTCACGCAGCGATGACTTTTATAACTTTTTTTTTAAAAAAAAGCAAATAAATACCTAGAAACGTCCTTTTATAAAGGCAAATTTCATTTATATAAAATAAATTATATTTTATACAAAATGGAATTGGTCTTTTATATTTTAAAATTTTATTCTTTAAACTTTTCCATTTGTTTAAATTAACGTGATTTATTTTTAAATGATTTCGTGTCCTATGCAAAGTCACGCCGGCGACTTCTCTTTTAGGTTATTTAAACGGCCGACATTTTTATTTTTTTGTTTCTTTACGATCACGAAAATATTTTTCTTGATTTATGGACGAGTACAGGAACATAATACTTCAAGCGAATTTTTCTATGACGAATAGTTGTTGAGATATAAAGCGTGATTGATGAACAAACAATAAGAAAATTCAATGTATTGTATAAATTACGTCAATAGAAACGGCTACAAATAGTAAATTCTAGTGTGAAATTTTACTTTTAGTTAATTGTTAATCGTGTTTTAAATATAATACAATAATAAATACGTTCTTCTTTTAGATTTAAATATGCGTCATGGATTGAATTTTAATAAAAATCGGATTTAAAAAATTCATTGTTTATAATGAATTCAACACGAAATGATTTTTCTCAGAAATTCTGGTTAATGTACGCGTTGTTGTCGACATTTTTAATATATTTTTTTAATGTTATTGGCTGGTGATTTACAGTTTCTTTTAAACTTTTCGGACTACCCCTCTTTAGTGCAAATATTTCAAGTATTCAAAATGAATTTTTGTTCCTCTTGAGTCTTCTTCTATTACCCTATACGCCCACTTTGAGAATATCTTCAGATATTCTTGATTATGACGATTATCATAAATTCTTTGATACCGTCAACAATTTCCAATGATTATCGACAAAGATGACCTTTTTCATTGAATATTTTCGATGATAAAAGAAATTAAGACATCATCCGACACAGTTTTTGCGTGGGATGATATGGACGACGTCTTCATCCATTAATATTTGTTTTTTATTGTAAAGTGTAGAAGCAATTTTAATATTGTTTTTATGTTAAGTGCTAATGGTAATTACATTTTTTGTATTTAAAATTACAATAAAATTCCCAATAAAATAAATAAATTCTCTTAATTTGTTTAAAACGAAATGATAAATATTTATTTTTAACAGTTTTTATCCCTTTCAAACGAATTAAATTTCGTAAAAATTGCTTATTTCACTAAAAATTATTTCAGAACCTTTCAAAAATAAACCTTTTCTTTTGATTAGTATGTTTCTTTAATGAAGGAATTGCCGGAGTGACTGTATAAAATGATTACGAATAGTTTGATACTGATACATGCATGAGTTTAATTCCCCAGAAGAATGATCATGCATGTTTAATCCTCTTCTCCAGTTCCTCGTCATGCAACCCGGACTACACGAGAAGTATCTTATCTGTTGTCTCAGTGCTTGTTTAGGCAGTCTAAAATGAATCTACAATCAAATTCGGCGTATTTAGGCCTAATAATGCAATTTTCATTTTAAATAGCGTAATTTATAACGCGTTTTATTTTTTCTGCAAAGTGCACACCGACTGACGAACACAGCATAAAGGGAGAGATAGAAATACGATTTTGGCAACGCATTATCGAAATAATAGGCGGTGGAAGAGTCAAATCTCCCTCCAGTGTCTTCACTCTTGTTCATGATGTAGAGGTGTTATGAAGAAATTTCTATGAATCCTATCCGAAGTCACTCTTTATTGTATTGTTTTTTCTATTCACGAATGTAGTGAATAAACAGTACAAGAAAAAATATCATTATCAATTTATAATGATATTTTCTCTTGTACTACCATTGTACAACACAGGATAAGTATGGCGATCCCAAAAATGTTTACATTTTTGGACTCTGAGGACCTTCAAACGTAATGCAAAAATGTTGAGAGTTTCTGTACGTATGGCTGTTAGTGTGCATGGGAGGGAGCACGATTTTATTCATCCATTTTTTGAAGCTTAATAACTCCTGTGCCTTATATCGAAAATTCCTTAAATTTTGCAGGGAGGTTTGTGTATTAGAGGAAAATGTTTCTAGAAATTTTCAGGAAAATTGGACCATTGGTTCTGGAGATATAACCCCACTCCTTTAATATCTCCAGAATCAATCTGAAGACTTAAAAATAATGGTGGAAATTATTAGGAATAGAAACAAATAAAGAATTCGGGAAATTTCAGAGAGAACTTTCCCGCCATTCTTTATTTTTTGCCAGCAACATTCCAGCTTTTTAAAATATATTATTGACGTTTATATTCTCTTAAAGTACATTTATAAACTTTTAAAATCAAATTTTTTCCTCTGAAAATCCCTTGTAAAATCCCGGAAAGTCTTAAATTCGAAAAAAAATATAGCATTTAATATTTAAAAAATGTTTTTAATATTTATTTTTAAACTGCATCATTTAGTTATAAATATAAAAATACATTCGAAAACATAAAAACTTCGCAAATACTAGTATAAAAATCACTTTTCATTCAATAAAATTAAATATAAATTGAACGTATATTTTAAGGTTTATATATATATTTGCTATATTAATTCAATATTTATTTTCTTATTAAATTAATAAATCTATTTTAAGTATGCAAATAAGTATGCATGAACAGCGAAAAGAGATTTGCAATTCATGTATTTTACGTCAGAACTGTATGCTGGAGTTGCATATAGAAAATGCAAATATATTTTTAAAGAATTAGATAATAAAATTAGATTTAAACACGTCCCGAAGTAATTAAATTCATTTGAGATTTATAAATAATGCGTACATCAGAATATATTGTAGTAATCCGGTGCAATGCATAATATAGCATTTGAATGAAGAGGATAAATGAGTACTTAGTGAAAGTTTCTTTATTTTGACGATCATCGATTTAACCTTTGAAAAAAAAAAACAGAAACATATTTTATTACATATTACGCCATATTATCTCGTCTCGAGCTTAATTTCTATCGTCTCGTCTAAAAATCCATAATTAAAATTTGGTCGAGCCACCGCGGGGTTGTAACCATCACGGAACATAAATTATTACTTTTATGGACGTCACAAGATAATTTATATAGAAAAAAACACTAAATTAAATTTAAATTCTCTTCGAAATTAATAACATTTATAAATTCGAATAATAAAATTATCCTCTGTTAATTGTAGAACTTTCAACGCCAAGTAGATGAATGGTGGAAGGAACCGGAACTGTTACCATAGTAACTGGAGGGGGAGGGGAGGGGGTATTTTACAGCCGCGCGATTAGCAACAGTCAAAAGACCGGTCGATTACATCACGTCTTCCAACAGTAGAAAGATCAATACCCCGAGTAATATAAGTAATTTCTAGTCCTCACACGGTATTAGACAGATGGAATATTTGGTAAAAATATTCTTTTTATTATTATCATTATTCATTATTATTATTATTATTATTATCAGTATTATTATTATTTATCCTGCTTATATTAGAATTGACAATCAGGAATAGATATGTAACAGATAAAGTATCACTTATTTACAAAATGGTTTAACCTTCATCAAATTCGTGTATACGTGTATATTGTCAATATCATTGAGCAAAGATGATATCATCATCATCTTTTTTTTTTTGTCTTTTCAAAATTACTCAATAATAAATTTAACATAAAAATTCCGTATTGAAGATTCGTTTACTTTTTGCACAATTTAACAAAGTTTAAAGTAAAAAATAAAATAAAAAAGGCTTTGAAGAGTTGAGTTGGGACATACAAGGGATTACTTTCCTCTTCAGTTTATATCCCGTTATTCAATAAATTTTATCAAAAAAAAAAAATTGTAGATAATCTGTAGAGGAGAGACCATTTGGGAATGAGCAAAAAATCACTTCTTTTAAAATATTTTTCCCGATAGAAAAATAAGAAAAAAAAATAGAAGGAACGTTGATGCAATCCGGATATGAAGTCGAAGTTTTTCTGTCGTAACAACACGGTTGAAAAAATATAAAAGAAGATGGATTAGGAAATATCTTCTTCAATCAAAATCAAATAAATATTCCGTTTCTAATTTAAATTCGTAATTCAAATTCGTCTCTACGATTAATCATCTGAATATTCTCATCGGAAACAGTGCACATCAGTTTATAGTTTGTTTTCTTCTTTTTTTATAGTCAGTTATGGTCGTTTATATAATTAATAGTAATAAAAATTGGAAGAGAACGGATAAATTGGGAGGAAAATGTGTAAAAGATGTTTCGTATAATGATAAAAGGATGCATCGTAATTGATTCGGTATGACAGACTCGAATGAGAGAGATTCGGTTCACATGTTATCAAAGACGAAAATGATATTAATAATAAGATGATGATAAGAAACATAAGTTGGACCCACCATACACGACGTGATTTCATCGAAATCCGAGTTCTGGGAAGGCGACATAATTAAATATTTTTATAATAAATAGTTCTGCACACACCTGGCATTCAGTCATATCCTGTGCTCTTCCTCCTCTTCGTCGTTCTCCACTACCACTGGCAGCAATTGCCTGTGGTCCGATAATTTCCTCTTCTTACCTTCCGATTTGCTTTCATCTTGGCTAGTGAAAGCCGACAGCCATAGTTTAATTCCTCGATCTTCGACTCCAGCAGATTTATCTGTCTCGGGAAGTCGAAAAATCAAAGCCACGCCTTCGCAGGCTCTCGGTGTCACTCGAAACTGTCGACCCGAACCAGGTAAAACTTCCACTGAACATGAACGTAAATTAAGGCTAGCTAACGGCCTACAAGCCGTTAACACTCCTCTAAGAGGGCATAAAACGGCGAAATGTTCGCTCGAAGTTCTATAAACTCTGACAAACATTCTCTGACCCGGGTTACTAGTCGACTTGAAGATCTCAAGTATACCAGACATGATCTCTCCAGCTTCCGGCCGACTGTAATCGGTGGAGGTGCCAAATCTTAAAGATGGTACGCAGGGCATTTCAAACTCAATTCAGGATCCGTCTAGATCTTTAGTTCTTCGTCCACACTGTCAACTTACGACATACGACGTTATTTAATCTGTGCATTCTTCCGGCCATTTTGTGACGTAAAATACTCCTCCCATGCCATTGGACGTTGGAGCATTCTGCGTTAGTTGTCCCTCAAGCATGCGCAGCTATGCAGTAGATTGCCCACGGATCGATGGAAGAACGCAGAGATAAGCAGAAACCGAAACCGTTTCCTGCGCAGTCGACCTGGCAAATGGAAATAAAATTGCTGTATTAAAAGTCAAGACGCGTGTGATAGAAGTTAGAAAGCAAAATTTAATAGAAGTCAGTCAAAATCGTCGGATCCCGATTCAAAGAAGTGGAAGATTACTACTCCTTCAATTTGACAGGATTCTTTTTCCACCAATCTTCTACAAAAGAAAATGACGGAGTTAGTGAAAAGTGCACATCTCTGTGTGTTAAAGTGTCTATAATTCAAATAAAATAAGCCAAAAAGGGTGTTAGATAAAGAGCAACTTTGTGCACTCAATCGATTTTTAATAAGATCTTTTTAAAGATGGCGATATTGATTGCAAAAAAATGCTCGTTTTAAACTCTCATAATTTAAGACTCAATAAGATTTCAACCATAAAAATCGATAAAAAAATGTATATATTTTATAAACTTTGAATTGTTAATTCGTAGCAAAATAGCGAAGAATTTAACATATAATGATTCATCCTATTTAGGAAATTAGGGAGTTTGAATGTAATATCAATGCATCCGTCGGGTCGCCTATACATGGTATAATTACAACACTTGTCCTCTCAGGAATTTCTGATTTGATTATGCATGCAATGAGAACAATTACTTTACTAATTCTATTAATTTTTACATAAGAAGATGGAATTGCAAGTTAAATTATCATGGATAAAAATAGGCTTTAAAAAATGAGTGCAAGAGTACTTTTCTCTTTTTTTTTCTGGTCGGATCATTTGCTACTGTTCCATCTATAATTAATGCATCTATTTTTAAACTTAAATTATTATTTTTAAATCGTAAAAAGAATTAGGACGGAAATTAAATTCTTGTACGCAAAATTATAATTTTTAAATCAATATTTTTTTTTATAGAAAAAGAAAATAATAATAGAAGAAAAATTTTTATAACGCGCATCGATATTTATTAAAGAGGGTATTTTTAGAATGGAGACGAAAGAAATTAGAAGGAGAAATAAGTTTTGAAAAAACTAATTACGTTATAAAAATAATGATGCGTTATAATTACCTAACTTATATGTTCTTTCTTTTTCTTATACAGTCGTATCTGCAATAACAGTAACTGCCACTTTATAACAACGGCCATTCTTTCAGCAGTGTTGAACAACAGTGCATATAAAATAACCTCCAAACAACGGCCATTCTTTCAGCAGTGTTGAACAACAATGCATATAAAATAACCTCTAAACAACGGCCATTCTTTCAGCAGTGTCGAACAACAATGCATATAAAATAACCTCCAAACAACGGCCATTCTTTCAGCAGTGTCGAACAACAATGCATATAAAATAACCTCCAAACAACGGCCATTCTTTCAGCAGTGTCGAACAACAATGCATATAAAATAACCTCCAAACAACGGCCATTCTATACGTTCCCGTCAATGACCGTTGTTCAGAAGTTCGACTGTATTTTTAAAACTGATTTCTCATTTTCTTTGAAAAAATAAAAGTAAAAACAGCGGCGAAAACAAAGATAAACGAGAAATTTACTTTATTTCGAGGTATAAAAAAATTATTTTAATTAATATTTTACACTTAAAAGATTGAAATACATCGAAAATTAAACCAAATAGATAAATAAAAATAATAAAAATTCGAATTTTTCTCTTATACACTAGAAGATATAAATAATTTTAATTGTATAAATGCATGTAATCTGCCAGAAGGCCTACTCTAAATAATTGAAACCGAAAGAAAATCTGGAAAGTGATTGAAGTGGTGGAGCGATTATGTAATACTTTTGTATTGAATCTATCATTTAAGAAAGAATTAAAAAGAGATTTTCTACTATTTTACCACGTTTTTATTTCAAAGAAACATCTCTGAAGATTTAGAGACGATTATTTCGTGGAATATCGATCGATAATAATTATTCCACTACGTTATCAATAATTAAGATTAATAGTTAACGTTTTAGTGATTTGTTTGTAATCACTAATAGTTAAATATTTAAAGATTTATTATAATTATATGCAGTCGAACCTCTAAATAACGGCCACTTATTGGAAAGTAAAACATTTGGGAATTGTTTAAAATTTTATTTAACAAGATATTTGAAGTATTCAACATATTCTTCTAGTCAGTGTTTACAGTTTATGTCGTTGCTGACACGTGTTTGACTTTAAATAACTGTTAAAAATAATTATATATAAACAGTGTAAATATTAAATAACCAGGAATAATACGTAAAACGTGTCTTAAGTATATAATTATCTTAAGCAAATTAAGGAATTAAATATAACGTTTTAAAGTAATCCAATTAATGTAATAAGATAATAATTTCTAAATTAAAATTCATTAAGAATAATGTTATATATTAGTATTTACATAGGCCTATTATTTAAATTTATACTATTTATTGCAATCTAAATTCAGTTTACGATTTCACATTTTTAAGTCTACTTAAAATAGGAAAAACACTACAGTTAATTCATTTTTGGGCCACTCTGTTATATATCAACAATACTTTAAAACGAGGAGAATAAAATGTTGTATTCAGGTATCTTTTGGTAGATTTCTTTTCGTCTATATATTGTTATTTCCGTGTGTTTCTTCTCTTAATTGACGGATTTAACGATTAATATTCGGTGATTTCTTGATGATTTATGGTCGATTCTCTACTCGACGGATTTAGGAAAATTAAAAGATGGCTTCTGTTACGAACAACGCAATAGAAAAGTAGAAGCAAGTAAAAATATATCTTTTTCTTTATCTATGTAAAATGACCCCGAAAACGTTAAGAAATGAAAAAAGCTTGGATTTTTTACAGTTATATAAGGATTGTTAGTGTATATGTTTACGTGGGATGTACTATTTTTTCACCCAATTTGAAAGTTTAATAACTCCTGTGCCTTTTGTCGAAATTTTCTAAACTTTCGCAGAGAAGTTTATGTATTAAGGAAAAATGTTTGTAGAAATTTTCAAAAATCGAAAATCGTACTATTGATTCGAAAGATATGGCCCCACTCCTTTAATATCTCTCGAACCAATCTGAATACTTAAATGTAATGGTAGCAATTATTAGGGATGAAAACAGACCGAAAAATCCAGCAACAATGCTACCACCTTTCTTTTTAATCAATTAGACGAATTTCCGATACGCTCTTTTCATTCATATTTAGGTTCTCACGCTGGACCTATGATTCAGCATCCCATTTCGACAAGCTTGAGTCACTGGAAATAAAAATGTTTCGTGTCTGCGATCGCTTTTGGATCTATCTGTTCTCTTAATAGTTCGATCGATTTTAAATAATATATTCGACTTTGACAATATTTTTATATTTTATATTATATTCCTTCCAACAGAAAATTACAAATTTTAACAAAATAAAAAATATAGATTTATCATCTGAATAACTTTTAAGAATTATATAGATATTTAAAGGGGGTAGATACATAAAAACGTTGTTTTACACCATAGAAAAAAACACAATGGTAGATCCCCACTCTACTACTCTTAAAGCCCATCCCCTCTTAACTTAATCCCGAGTGATTTTTTGTGTTTTGCAGTTTCATTATTGTAAATACTCGGCTCAATAAATGTACATTTTAATTACTAAGACCATTGCTCTTCTTGCTCTCTCCCAATCCTCCTCATCAATCCCCACTCCCTAAAAAGCGTGCTCAGCTCGTTATTTATAAAACAAAGTCACGAAAGAATTATAATAAAAATAAATATAATGTTTACTAATAATAAAATTAAATTATTTTACTTCCGACTTTAAAATCACTCAAGATAATTTTTCATTCATTCTAGACAGTGTATATTTAAGATATAAATTTAGACACGAGGCATTAAGTGAAGTTGTAGTCTTGCAATCCGACGATAAAAATTAATTTATTTTAAAGTTAAATTTAAAAGCAAATATCTTTAAATCAAGCAAAGATTTTAAAATTCTAAATTCTGTTTAATGTAAGGCTACAAAATATTTTATTTGAAATTCAAGAAACATGCAACAAAACAATTCCATAAAAGTATTATAAATTATTTATACAGAAGTACTTAAATGTTATTTTTTTTTCTTTAAATTCTTTAATTTCTCATATTACTTTACGCTATAAAACTTATATATTTTATACTTATTTATAATTTATATAATAATTATAATAATTGATGAGTTAAGGAAAAACATACTTTTTTTTATAGCTTAGCTAACGTGATTTAGTTTGTTAAGTATATCAAGGATATATATTTATAGTATTTTTAAATCGAATTTTCTTGAATATATACAAATATTATTCGATTCAGTTGAAGTTATAACATAAAATAATCTAAAATACAGACTGTACTCGATCTCGATTTAAAATACTCTATTTATGGCAGTCATCCCATTATTTCTGTTACATTATTATCGACTCTTGACATTTTGTATACAGTACAGTATTGTTTTATTATAAACGAAGAGTAAAATTAGTTAAAAATGCAAAAATAACAGATGTATACACTAACATTCAGGAAAGTATTATTATTAATCATGATTCATATACGCTCCAGAATGGGGTTAGATAGATGAAAGTCGAGAGTAGATATGGAAAGTTTAAGGGGGGCCTCGATTAATTATATAATAAATTCCAGTCTGGACCGGAAATCACTTGATTTTAATTCAAAAAATTTTCTCCAGAACGGAGTTAGATAGATGATGACCTGTATAACTCTGTTGTTATCGGGAAAAGTATGATTTACAGGGGCAAACATTACTAAAATCGAGAGCGTATATTTTTAAATTAAATAAATTAAAAATGTGATTAAAAAAGTGAAGCTCGACATTGTGACAATAATTTTTGCTTGTCTTTTTGAATTTTTTCTTCTAAATTCTTACTTATCTTTCAAAAGTAAGATAAATAAAATTAGCATTAATGGCTTAATTGGCATCTATTATATTTTATTAAGATCTTTAAATTCAGCGCTAATTTTATTACGTGTTAATGCTATATTTAAGTATATTATTCATAAATAATTAATCTGTTAATAAGAATATCCAATTTCTACATTCTGTTCAAAGTAGGATTATCGTTGATCTTTTGAAGATAAACAAAATATGTACACTATATTTATATTTATATTATATTTATACGATTCTTTTAAATATCTAAACTTATATATAAGTAAGTTTTCTGATTATTATATAATATGATATATATAAGGATTTAAAATGTAACTCGTAACTT